ACATACCAGCACTCTTTAACCTCAGGGTGGTGGAGGACTCTCCTTTTACATACTTGAGTTCACTCAGAAGTTAAATTATTGTGCTTCGTTTACCTTAAATCAGTGCACTTGTGTTTTTACTCACTGATAGTTACATCTCAAACTTGCTCAGCCAGCTGCCAGCACAGATTAATAAGGAAGATACACAGACACTGATTTAATTCAACTTGTCTGCCTGTCTTGTCACATCTTCAGAGTCCATAGCTGGGCGGTGGCCGAGTACCCAAGCAAAGCCCTCCAACAAACACAGAGATGCCTTTGTCACTCGCCAAGGTGTCAGGCTGCAGAGAAGGGAGGCGGATTAAACCGGAGAGCTGGTGGGATAAACAGGCCTTACATAACTGGCTCGTGTTGATGCCAGGGTGGCATGTGACAGGAAGTGGAGAGGAAAGTAGAAGAAATGAGGCCCAGCCAACATGTTGAGCCTGTGTGTTGGGTCAAAGCGTTGCAAGTCGATGTAAACCTGCTGTGCTGGACATGACTGGTAACAGTGGGAGCATCACAGTACCCAGAAGGCTTTGTGGTGCTGTAGTGGGTCACAAAGAGGGTTAATCTCTGAGAAGAACTCTGGCAGATTGGCTGTTTCTATTAAGAATGACTCAGCAAGCAGTGGGGAGAAGCACATGTTGAGCACATTGTCTGGAGGGACTGTCGGAGTTGTAAAATGAACCGTTTTTGTTGAATTTCATTTGATCACATTTATTTTACCTGCTAGAAAGCATTCAACACTGCAGTAGATAAATATCAAAGAACAAATGCTAATTGGTCAAATTATTCTAAAATCTGCCTTGGAAAATAAAGACATAGTTCAGGTCTTTACAAAAGCCTTTATCGCACATCCAATGCATTTCATACGAGAACCATCAAAGCTGGCTTTAGTTAATTCACTGAATTGTTTGTCTTGTTGTTGCAATATTAATGATGCTTCATCGAAAAGTGTTAAGTATGTTTATTCTAATGCATTTAAGTGATGGAAGCTCATCCAAAGAATGACTAAAGTGAGCTTTATTCTCAGGTTTAGGAGATGAGCTGAATTTATAAATGAGTCATGTCCTCGAGCTCAAACAACTAGAAAATGATAAACTTTTAAAATACTTGTATGTTGCTTTAGCACTGCAAACCAGTTTGATCCAGATTTTTGCCAGTCTTGACATTTTAGGATCATCATCAACAAATATGTTCTGGTTTAAAACAAATTGGGTTTGAAACCCAGCGCCGTCTCTGAGAGAACAGAGAGCCGTGCTATCTTTGCCTTCTCTTCCTTCTGCCGTGGGCACGTCAGACAGACAAGTGTTGACAAAAATGATCTTTTATATTGAGAAATTGAGTTTTTGTGGCCAAAGTCATGAGGTGGCGTTTAATATAGTAAATCTTGTAAAGCTTCTGTCCTGGAGCTGTTGTTTTCGTTTTGCAGAAGTTTGCCTGCTTGTATAAGCCTTGCTGTTGATCAGATCACCATCAATAAATGACCCTGTCTCTGTGTTGACTTGAAAAACAAGCAAGAAAAAGTTGTTGCATAAAGAAGAGGAGGAAAACAAGCTACCATATTTTCCAGTGTACAAGTCAATTTGGTGTATGAGTTGCATTTATTATGCATCACCGCTGATCTGTTGCATTTGTTATGCATTTATTTAACAATCAAAACGGCTTAATTTTGCCTGGGCGGTGCATTGCCATCCATCCACCCATCCATCCATTGCGGCCAAAGCCGCTGGCTCTCCAGTGTTCCTCCTCCTGCACCAGCTGAGTGAAGTGAGTGCATGGGAGGACTCGCTGTTGCAGTTCTTAGACATTTAAAGTGTCAGTCAAAACTTGTTATAAATATTGAAAGAAAAAAAACAACAACGTATATAAGTTGCTTTGGTGTATAAGTTGCAACTTGCAAGTCTATGCAAAAAACTGTGACTTATATGCTGGAAAACACAGTATTTAATTCAGTGGTCTGTTTTCCTCAGGATGTGGCAGATGATTCAGCACATCCTCTTTATTATCATTTGCATCACGTAGTACAAGAGGTGGAGCAAAATTATGTACACAGGGTCCCAGTTACACCCAACAACAGCAAAAATATAAAGTGTGAAAAGAAACGGTAATAAGCTCTAAGATATAAACTAAGAAATGTGCTAAACACTAATGGTGCAAAACAGTACGCCGAACAGCGGCATGAACATGAGTCTGTGTGAGCAGATGAGTACGAATGAATACCGCAGTATGAAATGGATCAGCAGCATGGATAATCAGCAGCATGGATAATCAGCAGCACATATCCCCAATCAAATATCTAAGATATAGATCTAGATTAAGACTTTCTATTAAAATACACTTTAGCTCCATGCACAGTCATTTATATATTTCAGTGTTTGAAAAGACCACATTGAGTAAGCTGAATCTACGACGACTCTTATGTAACATGGTTTTAAAACCATCCCAGAATCTCTGTACAGAGCTCCTGCTTACATCAGCCAGACTACCTCCCTTCCAACTTTTGAACTCTTTATTTTTTTTTCCTTCACTGCACTCTGTTCGTGCCATTCTGGCAGTGAAAAGTAGGGCAGGGTTTTCCTCTCTCCCTGCGTCTGGCCCTGTGTGGGCTGATGTAACAGGGTTAGAGCTGAGGCGCTGTGTGCCCTCACTGTAACCACTCAGCTGATTACAGCTCTTATGTAAGGAAGGATTGCTGCGAGGAAAAATGGGACAGAACACGAGCCTGTTGCAGAAAAAACACATAAACAAGGATTGTACACAATCTTACCTTTTGCATAGTTTGGTTACATTTTAAACATTTCTTTCCTTCAACTTTGCAAACTTTTTTTATGAAATAGTTTGAATGCACAGCTGATGATCTTCTGTCATTATGCAGATATAGTTGTATGTGCTGTAAATGATCCTAGATCTATTTAAAGCTGCAACCTTCCTAAATGCATGCTCCCTTTGAAGTATGTGCATGGAAACATGAAGTAATTGGACCAGTTGTCTTTTTGTTTGTATGCGTTTGAATCTGTTCCCAGATCTCGTCTTGGATTTTTCTATCAGTTTGGAGCTTGTTAATGTTAACAGTCCTCAAGATACCAGAAATGTGTTCGTGATCAGAGGTCAGAGAGCAGATAGGGTGATATCAGCTGTCTTATTGCATGAATTTTTTTCAGTGAGAAGCTTATGTAACTTCTTCAAGTCAAATGGATTTGCAGCATTGCATAAAACTAAGACATAACCAGGACCAAACGGAACAAAAACAATTTGTAGCTGAAAAAGTGGGGCATAATTTGACTCTCGGCTCATGAGACGAGATAAGGTCCTGATTTCAAGAGAAAAAGCTTTTTAACAATATTTTTGAGGGCCAAGCTTTTTCACGTTTTTCAGAATAATATTTATACACAAATATAAATATAATCCTAACATATTTTATCAGTCAGAACAATCTGTTAACAAAGAAAATTTCAAGACCTGGATTTATTTGTCATCTTTTCGTCACCGTTATTAAAACTGATTTCTGTTAAGAACATTTAACCAAAGGCATCAAACAGCTTGAACTAACCTCAGACCTACAGCTGCTCACGTTCCACACTAACATGAGCTAAACCACTAAAAGAAAATATGGCTGAAGTCAGTTCAAACAGACTGTAGCTGTGATGCGCTTCAACTAAGGTGGGCATTAGACGCATTAGATTTATTTTTTAATATTTTTATCACAGAGAAACGTTTACGCTGATGAACACAGAATTAAACAGTTTGCGGGACGAGGAGGGTCTACAGCTCAGTCACATTTAGTGTCTGCCTCCCACCTGTTTTTGGCTGCTGCAGAAGGCTACGGAGGGCCAGGGAAGCTGCTCTGAGTAACGTGCTGCTCAGTCCTTGGGCTTGACACGTCTGAACTGCTGACACAAATAATTTAAAGTGGTAGGGACATCCTCAGTTCTAATTTCACCACACAAAGTCATGCTGGCTGCAACTTGATATTGCTTAGTGAGACAGATTTATTCACAACAAGAATCTCTTGTAATGTTTTAATATCACAAGAACTCGAGGCATGACATCAGGTTACGCCTTTAAAAATAATTTACAAATGTTTTCTCACTTAAGAGACACAAAATCTTCAATTTAAATATTCAGGTAACCTGTTGATATATGCACTTATCAAAGAGACAGAGACACATCTGTGTTGTGCCCTGTTTGTACCAATAATTTATGAGCAGCCTTTATTTATACAGGTTAATCCCATTGAGCCTCGTGGACTCATTTACAAGAGAGACTTGATTTCTTAACAAAGAATGATGACAACAACGACAACAATAGAAAGTCATAAAATAGGCATACAAATTCAAGTTTTTCTTTCTTTTTTTTTTTTCTTTTTACAAATCAAAACAAAATAGCAACCAAAAGGATAATCAAGAGGAATAGTAGCAACAAACAGCTATGTAGAATATACGGAAATTTAGAAAACTAAAAACGGGAACATGTCTGCATTGGTCCTTGCCAGGAGTCCCAACAGAAAAGAAAAAGAAAAAGTGTGCCCCCCAAATAAATCATTTGAGGAACCTACGCTTTTAAGAAGGCATATCTGCCATTTTATAGACAAATTATTGCATTTATGCATTTCAAAAATTATCCCCCACCCCAAATTTATTTTTTTCTCTTTTTAATAGAATTTCTGCCCTTGAAGATCCTTCAAAATGATCTGGGCTTATTTTTATTTATTTATTCATTTATTTATTTATTTGTTTATTTATTTATTTATTTATTTATTTATTTGTTTGTTTGTTTGTTTATTTGTTTGTTTATTTGTTTATTTATTTGTTTATTTTGATCAATTTTGCTGTCTTTAATCTTATCTACATAAAAGGTGTAAACATTTGTGGCCACTTTAGCTGAGAGAAAAAAATAGAACATTAAAGAGGTTTAAAGTCCAGCTGAAACATCTGACCATTAATCCTAGCAATAACATTGTTTTTGTTTCCCTCCAGAGGTCCTTCTATCATCGTTTAACGGGGGACAACAAGTCAGAAAAATTTTTCAAGGTGTTCTATGAACGCATGAAGCTGGCCCAGCAGGAGATCAAAGCTACTGTGACAGTCAACACCAGCGACCTGGGCAGCAAGAAGAAGGATGAGGAGCCACCAGACAAAGACTTGCCAACACGCAAGAAAGGTTAGTGGGCAAATGAGTTTTCACAAAACGCTTCCAAAATATGGTCGGAGCCGAGCCTTTGTTTAAGCTCAGGTCTCTCTTGTAAATGAGTCCTCGTGGCTCAATGGGACTAACCTGTATAAATAAAGGTTGACTTGGAAAATAAATTAAAAAAAAAAGCTGCCTGTGGATATCCATGAATCATATCCAGATTTGAAGAGGGTGGCCTGCAAATGTCACCATCACAACATGAGGTGGTCAAGATGACCAAAGTAATCGAAGTGGAAAAGTACACATCTGCTGTCTTTTTGTACCCATATAATTTAGTCAGTCTGAATACCTGGTGTCTAACTGCTCTGTAATGAAAAATGTCTATACATGTACTCCAAAATGTGCCATAAAAACATGTCAGACATAGTAAAATATGGCTATATTTGGTAATAATTGTGTTTTCACTAATATAACTGTAATATGTCATATGAGGAATGCTGTCTCTAATTATCTCTAATTGACTCTCTCTTGTTTGCCTTTGGTTTGTGAAAGATGTGCCACTCGTAGCAATGGTGACTGAGGAAGTGAAGGAGCAGCTGGTCGAGGCCTCTGCTGTCACCAAGAAGGCCTACACAACGTACCGCCGTGAGGCTGAAGCCGAAGAGCACCAGGCGGCTGCTGACGGCTCCCCTGTCCCGACCCCTGACAAGAGCCAAGACGAAGAAGAAATGAGCGTCATTATTACCATCATGCAGCCTATTTTACGTCTCATGCAGCTGCTTTGTGAGAACCACAACAGGGATCTGCAGGTCAGCCATTAGATCGGCTTGTTGTGAATGTAGGGTTGTTTTTGAAAAAGCGCTCCCGTCCATCAGCCACTGTTACGATGATACTTCCTGATCTCCGTTTTAAATTGCACTCATCACACTCAGTTATACAGAAATGAAACCACGCTGAAAATAGGCACCAGTTGCAGAACATCCTGGTGCACTTGTTTTCATGTCTTTTATGGTCTGGTTTCATTATGAAGTTGTAAAGCTCCAGCAGCCCAGAGACAACGTGTACTTTACGCAGTAATTTTGTTTACTTGTGAAACTGTGGAATGATTCAAAGTTTTAGGAATAACTTCCATCCTCGACAATCAGATTTATACTGCCATTTTTTATTTATTTAAAGATTGTTATATGCACATCTACCTGGAGAGAAATAATTGTTTTATTCCATTAATAGAAAAGTTAAAAAAAAAAAAACTGCTGTTTATTGGATTATTTTGCTAAAACAAGAACTTTGATTTAACCCCGCCAGAGTTTTACTATCTCATTTTATTTTAAAGTCAGACATTGTTTTAATGTCAAAAACACTATGAAAATGCATAATAATAACTCTTCTAAAAAGCAAAGGTTGACTTTTTTTTTTTCCTGTCATTCTCCAGAACTTTTTACGCAACCAGAATAACAAGAACAATTATAATCTGGTATGTGAGACTCTTCAGTTCCTGGACTGTATTTGTGGCAGCACCACAGGAGGACTGGGCCTACTGGGCCTCTACATCAACGAGAAGAACGTCGGACTCATCAACCAGACAGTGGAGAGCCTAACTGAGTACTGCCAAGGCCCTTGTCACGAGAACCAGGTAATACATTAACATGCTGACACCCTTTGTGTTTTAGACATGGCTTTTTTTTTTTCCATTTAAAGTTTGTCCCAGAGTCGACGAGCGAAACGGGGATTAGAATCACTGTCAGTCCGTTCATACATTCTGTGAGCTGGATAACAAACAAATATGCAAACTGCCAGCTTCCATTTTGGTGTGTGAGTGCATGTAGGTGCAAGAAAAGCCCCTATCAAAATTAGGTTACTGCATCATATAATGACATTTTTTCTTTGTCTGTTTCTTCTTCCTGTCCTCTCAGCAGCTGGTCAAAGCAGGCGGCCGCTCATCCCGAGTCTGGTTCAGCTGGAGGTTTCTTCCTGTTAAAAGGGAGTTTTTCTTTCCACTGTTGCCTTTGTGCTTGCTCAGGATGGGAGACTGTGAACTGAAGTTTCAGCACAATCTGCTGGCTTCCTTAGATAGATAACTTTTACTATTTGTTTTTTTTTTGGTTACTTTTTTTTTTCCGGCTGCTCCCTTCTTCAGGGGTCGCCACAGTGAACTAACTCTCATGAAGACTTGACAATTGTTATTACATCAGATGTCCTTCCTGACTCAACCACAGACCACTGAGCTACAGCAGCCCTCTGTGTGGAGCAGAGAGCTGGGTGCTCAGGGGAGCAGATGGTGGGGGTTAAGGGTCTTGCTCAAGGGTCCAGAGTGGCACAAATGAAGGTGGAGGCAGGTGTGGGTCTTTCACCATTCCCACCCACATGTATCGATGCCGTTGGTCTGGGAATTTGATCCGGCAACCTTTCCAACCACAGGCCAACCTTCTCCAACATCTGTGCCACTACTCTCCCAGTTAGATAACTTTACTCATTGGTTTTTATAAAGTATGTGAATGTTTCTGTTCAGTGGCCTCAGATGACTTCTGTTGTGACTTGGCGCTATATAAATAAACTGAACTGAATTGAACTCTTCAGGACCTGCCAGTGTTCCAGTGAAGCTAAGGTTTGGCCTCTGGCTGCGTTGTTATAACATACATTTTAACTTTACAGTTATTTGCCACACTGTCATTTATGGCTGAGCCTATGGACAGCAAAGTTCCCAAATCACGAGGCTGCAAAACAAGCCCTTATTATCTCTCCTCCCCCACTGTGCTTTACAGTTGGAGTCAAATACTGTGAGCGTGCTTTATCTTATCTGTCCAGAGACGATTGTTTCAGACATCATTAGTTAGCTTTACAAGGTTTCGTCATAGCCAAGACATGTTTTAATACATTTTAAAGAGGAAATGTTTCCCATGACGACTCTTTACCAGCCTTGCTCATTCAGTCTTCTAATTGATCTATCCTGATCTTTGTCTTGGTGTCTGAGGCCTTTAGTCTGTGATGTAGTACTCAGGGTTTTTACTATTACTTGGTACTGTTCTGAGATTTACTCTCATTGGTAACTGTCTTATTTTTTTTACTGTAAGGTAATATTTTACTGATTGACTACATTGTTTGGAAATGTTTTTGAAACGTTGTTCTGACTGAGCTGCAGCATCTGTTGCTTCTCTAAGGTTATTGTTGATTCAAAACCAAGAAACTGCCAAAACCTCTGCCTCTGATTAATTACCGGTAATCAACATATTTGATTGAATGTTACGCACCCCATTAATTTCAGATAGAAGTAGTCAGGGTGGGGTCAGCAATTTAAACCCTGCTTTCACTTTTTTTTTTAATAAAATACATCATTTAATTTATAATCTAACGCGCAGGATGTTGTTCAGCTTAGTTTAGATTACTTGCATATAGGATTCAATAAAGGCTAAGTTACTTTTTTACTTATTTTTACTATGATTCTGACTTCAGTACAAACTTTATATTCTGTGATTTTGTTTCTACAGTAACTCTTCTTATCCGATATATGAAGTTTTATCATTTACTCATTTTTATTTTGTTTGGGTTTTTTTCTCAGAACTGCATTGCCACTCATGAATGCAACGGAATCGACATCATCATTGCTCTCATTCTCAACGACATCAACCCTCTTGGAAAGAAGAGGATGGACCTGGTGCTGGAGCTCAAAGTAAGTTCATTCGGTGGTTCGTTTTTGTCTGCAGCTTGATTTACTTATTCTCCGACAAAAGTCACATGTTCACATACGAGCTCAGCCAGAAATGCTTGACATTTAATTGCTTGAAGTTTTATAAGTTCCAGGTGTGGACCTATTGGTGCAATGATACTATAACTAATACATTGGTGACCGAAGCCATAAAACAGTCAGAAAAGTGCAACCACAAATGTGTTGTGTTCACTAGCTGTACAAAAGAAAACACATTTCCAAGCTAAAATCAGGTCACTGAAAGTCTTGAAGCTATTGTTATTTAAAACAGGCATAGCTAAAATGTTCAGTACAAAACACATCAGAAACTACACTTACACTAAGTGATGTTAATTAAGAACTTGAAATGTAAGCATTTGTACTTTTTTTTTTTTTTGTCTCTGTTGCTTTCTTTTACAGAACAATGCCTCCAAGCTTCTTCTTGCCATTATGGAGAGTCGCCATGACAGTGAGAACGCTGAGAGGATACTGTACAACATGAGGCCTAAAGAGCTGGTCTGTCATCATACACACCATTACATGAGGCTGAGAGAGATGCTGTCCTGACGGTGTGGTTTCTTGCAGGTGGAAGTAATTAAAAAAGCCTACATGCAGGGTGAGATAGAGGTGACGGAGCCAGAGGAGGGTGAAGATGGAGAGGAAGAACATTCTGCATCGCCACGCAACGTTGGTCACAATATCTACATCTTAGCACATCAAGTAAGCATCATACTATTTATAATGTTAATGTGAAAAACAGCCCACATGAACAAATTCAAATTTATTGTCACATAAAGGAATTCAAGAGCTATTCATCTCCTTGATATGCTGGCCCAATCACAAGTCCACTTGGGTGTATTCCTTTGAGCCCAATGAACTGGGTAGAAAACCACCTCTTTCCCAAAATAACTTGTCTAAATAAAACATGGAGGAGGTGAGCCAACAGAAGGTTGGTGTTGGGCTGTTAGTCTCCACTTGCAGCACTGTTGATGAATGTGTGAATGATATCATCTAAAATGAGGAAAAGCTGCATGTGTTACAGTGGTGCTTGAAAGTTTGTGAACTCTATAATTTTCTATATTTCTACATAAATATGACTTAAAACATCATCGGATTTTCAAAGTCCTAAAAGTCGATAGAGAAAACCCAGTTAAACTAATGAGACAAAAATATTATACTTGGTTATTTATTTATTGAGGAAAATGATACAATATTACATATTTGTGAGTGACAAAGTGAACCTTTGGTTTCAGTACCTGGTGTGACCTCCCTGTTCAGCAATAACTGACACTAAATGTTTCTGGTAAGTGTTGATCAGTCGTGCTCACCAGCTTGGAAGAATTTTAGCCCATTCCTCTGTACAGAACAGCTTCAGCTCTGGATGTTGGTGGTTTCCTCACATTAACTGCTGCTTCAGGTCCTTCCACAACATCTGGATTGGATTAAGAGCAGGACTTTGACTTGGCCGTTCCAAAACATGAACTTTATTCTTCTTGAACCATTCTTTGATAGAACCACTTGTGTGCTTCAGGTCATTGCTGCATGGCCCACCTTCTCTTCAGATTAGTTCATGGGCAGATGTTCTGACATGTTCCTTTAGAATTCTCTGATATAATTCAGAATTCATTGTTCCATCAATGATGGCAAGCCGTCCTGGCCCAGATGCATCAAAACAGGCCCAAACCATGATACTACTATCACCATGTTTCACAGATGGGATAAGGTTCCTATGCAGGAATACAGGATTTTCATTTCTCCAAACATAACACTTTTCATTTAAACCAAAAAGTTATATTTTGGTTTCATCCGTCCACAAACATTCTTCCAACAGTCTTCTGGTTTGTCCACTTGATCTTTAGCAGACGAGCAGCCATGTTCTTTTTGGAGAGCAGTGTCTTTCTCCTTCAACCCTGCCATGACACTATTGTTGTTCAGGGTTCTCCTGATGGTGGACTCATGAATATCAACATTAATGTGAGAGAGACCTTCAGTTGTTAGAAGTTACCCTGGGGTCCTTTGTGACCTCACTGATTATTCCACACGTTGTTCTTGGAGTGATCTTTGTTGGTCCACCACTCCTGGGGAGGGTAACAATGCTCTTGAATTTCCTCCATTTGTCCACAATCTGTCTGACTGTGGATTGGTGGAGTCCAAACATTTTACAGATGGTTTTGTAACTTTTTCCAACCTGATGAGCATCAACAACTCTTATTCTGAAGTCCTCAAATCTCCTTTGTTCCTGCCATGATCCACTTCCACAGTCTCTCGTAAATGAGTCCCCGAGGCTCAATGGGATTAATCTATCTAAATAAAGGTTGAATGACAAAAAGCATGTTGTGAAGAGCAGACTTTGATAGATCCATGTTCTTTAAATAAAACAGGGTACCCACTCACATCTGATCATCATCCCATTGATTGAAAACACCTGACTCTAATTTCACCTTCAAATTAACTGATAATCCTAGAGGTTCACATACTTTTACCACTCACAAATATGTAATATTGGATAATTTCCCTCAATAAATAAATGATGAAGTATAATATTGTTATCTCAAGTGTTTCAGGGTTCTCTTTATCTACTTTTAGGACTTCTGTGAAAATCTGATGTTTTAGGTCAAATTTATGCAGAAATATAGAAAATTATAAAGAGTTCACCAACCTTCTACTACTGCATATACCAACCAGCAAACAGGATCGCTAATCTGACACTTTTATGTTATACGCTATGTCTTTATGATACAAACAAACGCATGTGATAATTATTGGTTTGTTTTATTTTAGTTAGCCCGACACAACAAAGAACTGCAGGCCATGTTGAAATCAGGAGGAACGTACGGAGAGGGTGACGAAGCTCTCGAGTTCTACGCCAAACACACAGCTCAGATTGAGGTCAGCTGTTCTTGGGATGTTTCATCTAAACTGACTTGTTTTCTGCTGTCATTTCTAGATTTCTGTAAAAATTGTTTTAACGTGACTTTGCTTTCGTCCTTTATGACATCCCATCCATCCATCCATCCATTCATACATACATACAAAAATACAGGTCCTTCTCAAAAAATTAGCATATTGTGATAAAGGTCATTATTTTCCAAAATGTAATGATAAAAATGAAACTTTCATATATTTCAGATTCATTGCACACCAACTGAAATATTTCAGGTCTTTAATTGTTTTAATACTGATGATTATGGCATACAGCTCATGAAAACCCAAAATGCCTGTCCCAAAAAATTAGCATAT